ACACACACACACACATACACACACACATATACACACACACACACATACACATACACACACACATACACATACACACACACATACACATACACACACACATACACATACACATACACACACACACACATACACACACATACACATACACACACATACATACACATACACACACATATATACACATACACACACATATATACACATACACACACATATATACACATACACACATACACACATATATACACACACAAGCATGTAATTAACTGCTTATTACATGAAGAAAAACAAAGTCTCAGCTGACTTCTTTTAAGTTGAGAGAAGCTTTATTAAGGAGACTGCATTTAAGTGGCAGTTTACAAAATTCTGTCCTGCAGAGACTGCGTAAGATGATACATGTGAACCTCTAGCTGTCAGCAAAGCGGCATAACCTAATAGATTATTGTCTTCCTCTGAGCCACGGTATGAAGATGGGAAACTCCAATAGGGGCTTACTTGCATGCACAGAACTTCAGTGTACTCACTACACATACTTCACTGTACCCTCGAGCATCACAGCACTTCTGAAAAAAGGAACAAGCACCTCTCATTTGAAGTACATCCAGTTTGCTAACACACCTGTCTTCAATGAAGTATACACTGATGTGAGTACCCTGTGGAACAAGTCAGTTCTCTTACATACCACATCATTATGTCTCAAACCCAAATTTTGCTCTACCAATTCTTTTACCATTTTTATAACTTTCAAATCTGAAAAGAATGCTCTTTCATATCTATTTGGAAACTAGAGTTCTTACTCTTTTATTTACACTTCTACCTGACCAAAAAAAGAGACATAGCTAATTACACCAAAGAAAGAAAACATCATTTTCGAAGTAGTTTCCAGCCTAGCCACTGTACTCTGAAATTAAAATGGCACATTAGCATAGCATAAGAGCTGTGAATAGTCTCCAAAAGTAGTATAAAGTACAGAGCTACTTAAGAATAACTGGTACCATTAAAAAAGCTAATACAGTTTTTGACTATTTGCCTCAGAGACAGTATTACACTTCAGATTATTACAATAGCTCAGCAGTTACTGTATTCAAAACCTAGTAAATTCAGGAAACAGGGGTCCATGCCTATTAAAGAAACATAAGTTTGTTTTAAAACAAAGTCAGACTGAGGAGAATAATTAAATTAAATTAGGAAAGAAGATCTGCTCTTTCTTTACAATCCTGAAAGGAAGCATTAGAATTAGCGACAAAGTTGTTCAGTTCAACAAACTGAGTAGCTCCCTTTGTTGACAGAGCATGGGAGCCATCTACCTTTCAATAAACTTAACTTTTAATTCACCAAGCACAGTTAAGACTTTAAATCCAAAACCTCTTTAACACTGTTTGTGGCATTAACTGAAACTCAAGTTTCTAATTAGCTGCAGTTCAAGTCATAAATAAAGGTTTGCCTAGCAGAGAAGCAAGTAGGCTTTTTTTTTTTTTAAAGACCAAAGACATCAGGAGTTAAAAAGCCATATGGTTTGTGTGATTAGTTCTGGTTGCCATAGAACAGTTCCAATTATAACAGTAGATTTTTGTATAAGAGCTTTAGAAAACAAAATGGAGCCATCAAGTTGAAGACCAGTAAAACAATAGACACATTGGTCCACTAGTTTTCCTGCAAAACAGGTATTTTGGTATGTAATACTCTCAACTGTTCATGCTCAGCTGAAAATGGAAGCTGAGGCTGGATCCTAGCAGTGTTGTGACAGAACCAAGGTGAGGTGACAAAACAGAAGAGCCTTCAACCACTGCTACTACCTCATATACATATTTTATGGAGAAACCTTCAAGTGCTACACACTTCTGGCCAAAGCTTTTCTACTGTCCTGATTCATAACTGTGCATGCCTATCATTGAGGGGAAAAGTTATTTCACATAGGTTTTATAAAGAATTTACTTCTATTTATAGACACCACATAAAAAAAAAAAAAAATCACTGCACAGATGCCTGTCCTGATTAAGCAATATACTTCTAAATGGTATTATTACATAGAGATGATTACAGAAGAATCAGCACACTGAATCTAGGTGGACAGACACCATATATTAAACAAATCTGCTGCCTCAAACAGATTACCACTTTACAGAGGCAATTGAAGCTGCACCATGAGATGCCTCCTGCCTCAAGGGTCACAGCTCATACAATGCTCTTGATAAAGTCCTAAGAGTGCCTAAACAGGCCCCTGAAGAGCCTCTGAAAGTTACACACCAGGGGACTTTCAGAACATGCTTTACAATTCATTTGCCCTTTTCCCTCCGGGGTACAGACAGTGCAACGGAAGTACACAACAATTATCACATATTGCTATTTGGATAAGCAGATGTTAGAGGTTATTTTCATAAAACTAGAAAGTAGAACAAACAGAACCCCATGGTTAAGTACAGTGTCCTTTATATCTTCCAGATATGAAAGTCTAAACCTTAGTTTCAGCTTGTAATAAGGTTATTCTCTCTTTTTTTAAATTAAAATATCCAGTATGTTTTACAGAGGATTTATACCACCTACTTTGACTCACAACAGTTAATGAAGGTAATTTAGTAAGGATAAGCTGTTGTCTGTGAGGAGTGTTACT